AAGAACTCAAAATATATCTTTAAAAAGCTGTGTATTTTTCTTTTATAAAATTCCTACTTTTTAAAATACATTTTTAAATGTTCAATTAGTTGAATGTAGAGAAAAAATTGTAATTAACATGTGTTGATTATGTTTTCTGCTTTAAATTTTATTTATAAAATTTAAATATAATCTATATAATCTAATTCTCTTTTTGTACACTTTAAGTTTACTTTTATTTTTTTCCTATCTGCTTAGTTGGAATTCCTTGTTTCATACTTGCATATTTTTAATCTTTTTCATATATGACAAATAAAAAATTATATTTGTAAATGCATATTTAGCCACCCTTAAAAAGATTTAAAAGGTCATTCTTTTATTGTTACTTATTTTAAAATATTTAATAAGTGACTTTGTAGTTTTATCTTTATTCATGAATTATTTAGAAATATTTTTATTTATTTATTACAATTGTTCTTAATACATTAATTCTTCAGAATTTAAAGTTTTCTTTCTGTCATATGTATTATTAGGTAAGTTAATGTTAGCTCTAAAACTTCAGAAGCTTAATGAAAAATGTTTACTTTTTAATCACGGGAAATCCAAAATGAATGTTCTAACTAAGAAGCATCTTCAATATTCTAAGAAATTCCTGTATGCAATTCACTGCCAGATAGGAAAAAGACTGGAAAAATTTTCCCTTGAATTTATTTGTTCCAATATTGGAAACAATTTTATCACTTGCTCATACATTTCATTGGTCAAGATTCAGTCTGATAAACCAAGTAACTGTAGAGGAGACTGGAAATGCAGCCTAATCAATTTTCAGGGGAGAAAGCTCAACATAGAAAAAAGTCAATTCTTTCCAAACCATAACCATTAAAAAAAGAAAACATTATTTTTTCGGTATAAGGTTTAATATATGTTTAAGGTTCTTCATTGTATTCTACACACATATATATATATGTATATGTATGTGTGTGTGTGTGTGTGTGTGTGTGTGTGTGTGAGAGAAGTGTATTTAACTTTCTATCATGACTATGGAAATTATGTTAATGGTTTCTCTCTTTTCCTAAATCTGAAGGCTATTGTTAGTCTCATCCAATTTCATTGTTCTCCACTATTCTGTTCTATTACTTTTGCCATTATATTCTTCAATGCTTGTTATTTTTTTCACTTTCCAATAAACTTGTCAAATTGTCTTAAGTTTATTCCTATGAGGAGCTTGTAATTATATTACAAAATGCTCAGTGTAGTAGTATTATTTGATCATTTGTTTTAATCTTCTCATCTACTCTTATTATATGAGTATAATATACTCTGTATATTACCCTGTACGTTGCTTCTATACTTTGTTTTTTCTTCTTGTTTGCTACTGTTGAATCAATGGAATTTCATCTTTTATGTGGCTCCATTTGAAAATATAGACCCTATACATTCTGTTTTTAGTTCTTAAGAGCTATATTACAATATCTCATAAGAAAGTTTAATGTTATCATATATGTGTGCACATGTGTAACAAAGACCTTAGCAACTACTGTTTTTATCTAAATCCTTTTACAGATTTTTTAAAACTTTTAGCTTACACTTCTTTTTAAATACAAGTACCCTTCCTTTTGTACCTCAATCTTGATATATCATGTTCAGCATTCAGTTATCTTATTAATATCTTTATTTTTATTCTGCAATTCTACATGTCATTTCTATTTTCTATCTCTGTTACATAAAATTTCAATAACAGTTGAGCAAGGTCTGTGAAAAGAAATGGCTAGTTTATTTATTTTGTGATATTTTCCTGGGTATTTCTTTTTTATTTTCAAGGTTCTTTTTTTCTCTGTGGATAATATTTTATAATTTCTGAGACCAAGAGACAAATAGATCACATTACTGATTAGTATTCATCTAACTTATTTTGAGATATTATAACTAATTCAATAAAGAATTTGTGATTTGACCTGCTCAAGGCAGAAATATTATCTAAAATAATTTACACATCAAAAGTTTTTCAAAAGGTCCAGATTTTTAAACTCTACAAAGTATGTAAGTATAAAAAGAAATATGTAGAAAAGTGTAATTTTTAATTCCCAAAAGACTCACATAAAAATGTATATATCTGTGTGTGTTTAAGCTTGAATAAAAATAATTAAAGATACATTATAAATTGTTAACCGAGTTCCCCTAGATTCACTGAATAGAGGAGCAGAGAGGGAAGGCGACAAGGATATATGTCATTGGCTTGACGGCAGAAATCATTTCCCTATGTACACTGTGTGTATAGTAAAACATCACAATGTATATGCTATATAAATATGAACTATGGTCAAAATATATGGTGAATGTTTCATTTAAAAGTTATTCCTGGAAAAGACACATTGACATTAATCCACCTGAGAATATTTCTTTTTGCATTGGTCACACTTATCCCATCATTCTTGCCACTTTTTGAAACAGTTCTGGAAGTATTTTTTTTTTTTCATATTTTTAATTGCACTGACTTGGCTGCCTCCATGCCCTTAATTGATTCAAAACTGTTCACCTTTCATGGTCATTTTGATCTTTGGCAAGAATCAGAAGATGCATGATGCCAGGTCTAGTGAATAAGGTGGAAAAGGACACACTGTAATGTTTTTATGAGCCTGTTTTTCTGTTGGATGGACTCAGAGCAGCATTCAATGTATTTTTTAATCACACCTCATAAAGACACTCACAAAGAAAGACTTCCAGAACTGCTTCAAAAATTGGGAAGAGGCCATGTGTGGTGGTTTACACCTCTAATCCCAGCACTCGGAGGCTGAGTTTGAGGCCCACCTGAGTGAGGTGACGGCCAACCTACACTACATAATGAGACTGTCCCCCCTAAAAAAATACAAAACAAACTAAGACTAGGAAGAACAAGGGCATGGTATGTTTAAAGTGAAGGGGAGAATTCTGAGGGGTAAAATGGCAATGTGTCTTACTATAGCAAATTTTTAGAAAGCCAAAACTCTTTGTAGTTTTTTATCACACTTTGTACAGTAATATATATTTTGAAATAAAGGACTGCACTAGAACAAAGAAACCCAAAACCTCCCACAAACTCTAATATATTTATGATATCATTTGTATAATTAATTTTAATTAAAAGAGGAGAGGAATGGGAAAAAAAGCGGCAAGATATATTATCTACAGGTACAAATTCCCAGCAAGAACGTTATTATGTGTATCTAAAATGCACCAATAAAAAATTAAAAAAAATAAAACAATGTGAAGGGAATAATTGAATATGCACAAAATTAATAAATCTGAATAAGATTTGGAGATTAACCTTAAATCATTGTGAAATGGTAGCTGTCTCATAGTACTGTCATATGGGAAGTTTTCATTCTGAATTTCATATTTGCCATCTGAGAGATTTCAGTGTTCAGGTTTCCCCAAAGTGCATTCTCGTTTGTTCAATATCTCATTAATGTAGCAGCAACAAGAAGTGAGCATTCTTCTGAGGACCAGAGTGTGTGAAAGAATACTTCCACCCACCACTGAATCAGAATACCTGCTAAGTATCTTCTGTTGCTAAACGGTGGTGTTTCTCTTCTAAAATAAGCTTTCAGGAAAAGAAAAAAGGAATGGAAAGTTCAAGAATTTTAGAGTTTAGAAGAATTTTTTAGTCCAGGGTTCACCATAATAGCTGTATAATTAAAAATATGGAAAAGCAGTAAGGCCACTTTTATCATCTGTTCATTAATCTATCATAAATGTATATCTCTAAATGTCAGTATCACTCAGATAGTTCGATAAGCCTAGGTCAGCCACTGAAGGACTATGTCCTGGCTTAGTGTCTGTGACCTTAAGATGGAACTTTTCTGTGTTTTCATCCTTAAAATGGAGATAACAACATTATTACAAGAATGTTAGGAGAATTCAATTAGATAATAAATGTAAAGCCCTTATTAATGTGCTAGGCATATAAAATGTATTCAGTGGAAACAACTGAAAGTGAAACATTAATATTAAATTTTGTCTTGGAACAGATTTAGAAGAAAATGATTGAAACAAACCTCATTTACTTAGAACTAATATTTTGGACTTTTCTGTGCATATGTATTTGTTATACAATGAAGACAATAAATGAAGTGTGATCAAAATATATGATGAATGTTTAAATTTAAAAAAATTATTACAAGGTTCATTGCTATTTATCTCCTTCAGAATACCCCCCACTTTAAAAAAAAAAGCTTGTCCCATCACTTTTGCCACTTTCTGAAGCAGTTCTGAAAGTTTTCTTTGAATGTCTTATGGAGTCTGATAAAATATGGTGCATACTGCTCCTCTGTGCAATCCACAAAAAAGCAGGCTCATAAAATTGTTATGGGGTGTCCTCACCCATTTATTCACCATATCTGGCCCTATTTGACCTCTGGCTCTTCCCCAAAGGCAAAACAATCATGAAAAGTAAAACTTTTGAATAGATTCAGAACATTAAGGAAGTCAGGACAGTACAACTGAAGACACTGATGGAAAAAGACTCCAGAACTATTTCAGTAGCAAGAATGACGGGATAACTGTATTTGAAGTGAGGGGAAATATTTTAAGGGAGATTTGTGGCAGTGTGATTTTACTATAATAATTTAAAAAATTTAAACATTCACCATATTTTAAAATTGTTCTCAGTATATTTTCAAGGAAATTATCCACACTGAATATAAATATGTATACGTATATATTACCACGAAATAAAAACTAGGTTTAAAAACATAAAAGTCATCCCATTTATAGCTGTAAATGAATTACTAATGCATTCCTCATTATCACATACCATATTACCTTTTCTATTCACTGCAACATAGCAATATTACTTTCTTCATAACTCCAGGTAAATAATTGGCCCTCTCATTTCATCCATTGCCTCAGGATATCAATAAGTATCTTCCTTTGAGAAATTATATGTTCTATTTCAGTTTTTAAAATATGACTTTATTATTGCAAAGAGTTCAAGTCCCAGTTTTCTACACTAAATCAATATTTAAGAGAGCCATGAATGAACTCTATTTATTTTCTAGATCCAAAATATTTTTCTCCCTCTCCTTATCTGTCTTCCTCACCAATTCTTCAAGTTTCTTCTCCAAATATTAATTGCTTTAGTGTTCTTTGTGTTGTCTTCATTTTCCTCTGATGAGATATACAGATATAGTAGCCAGAGTAGAGGAAAAGATAATCCAAACTTTAGCATAGTAGCCTACTCTTTTAAAGAATTATGTTTTCTTTTCTGAATACCTCTTCTAATTTTCCTTATGTTTAAATTATTATCCAATCTAATTTCTATCATTTTCCCTCCTGTCAGCAGCATAACTCAGATTTTGAAATGACTTCTTTATCTTTTTTCAGTGGAGTATAAGGAAGCTAAGGCAATTTCTTTGCCAAAGGAATGGTTGACCCAGTATTTATTTGGAGGAGAATTTACTCACAGTAATACAGCACTTGCCAGTACCGCAGCTTCTGTCAGCAATATCAAAACAATATAATTTCTTGACTCTCAGCCTCCCTTGGATCATCTTCTGGATGGAAAAGAGTGGGTGGAGAAAATGAGTTTTGGAGAAGGAAGGAGTAACCAGGGACCTCCAGAATAGACTCTTCAAACATTTTGCCTGTTCACTGTTTCATCAGCTTTTTTTTTTTTTTTTTTTTTTTTTTTTTTTTTATTTTTTTTTTTTTTTTTTTTTTTTTTTTTGCTGTATCGTTAGACTCCTAGACATTGAAAAAACATTTGCCCTAGAAGCTGCTACCCAAGCATTCCACTCCTAGTCTATCTTGCAAATTCTAATACCCTCAGTCAGCCCACTGCAAGTAATCTGTGCTGGCACAAATCTTGCCCAATAAATTTTGTTCTTATTTCATGGCATAATTATGAACTACATAGAAGGTGCTCAAAAATCACTTGTTGAATAAATGAGTGAACAACCGAAGTCCTTGATCTCCCCTCAAATTGCCTCACCACAGTGTATGCTACCTCCACAGTATTCTCCTTTGAAGCACTGGGTGGAGATGAGAAGACAGTTTCAACAATCAAGGATGGGAACTTCAATCACATCTGATTAGGAAAAAAAGATCACAAAGGGAATATAGTACAGGAGTTACTTCGTTGAGACAGCAAGTGTGGATTAGATGTCAGGTGAGTTAGATTTCAGGCATTCCCAGGGCTCTAATTTTACATTGTTCTAAATTCCCTTTTCTCCTATTAACTGAGTTTCTATAAATTAAGTTGGATTTCTGAGGAAGAACTGGGAAAGATGATATCCTAGCTCATATTGGGGTAATAGATTAGAACCAGTAGAGAAGGGCTCCAAACACATCTTAGATCTGTGCATCCTAAATAAAATAACCTGAATTCTTCCATAAGGTCAGTTGTTGTTATCAGATGTTGTTAATATTCCCCTAAGTGACCATAGCTCTGGGAATTGTTTTTCAGTGCAACAGATGGGAGAGACAGAGCCATACAGAACAAAGGTGATGAGAAAACAACCCAAAGGCGTCACATACACTTTACCCACTGCGATCTTCAGAAAAAGCTAAAAGAGAAACAAAGTTTTAGTGAGTTTAGAATCAACTTAGGGGTCACCATATTAATACCTGAGAAGTCTTTTTTGATCTGTTGCGCTCTAGCTATTCCTCCACCCATTCCAAATATCTACTGCTGGAACCATCGTTCCTCCTCTCACCCCTCATTTTCTATTCTCCTCAGAAAATTTCAGAGTTGATAGAAAATTTCCACTACCAACTTCAGAGAAGTCCTTTAGTGTTTCTTTCACCTTGAGTTCCAGGTTTTGGCAGACATTGAGGAGCTTGCCTTGGAAGCTATCAGCACCTAATACAAAATGAATGGCATTTAGAAATTAGCATACCCTTCCTTTCAGCTGTTTTGTCTTGTTTATCCCAGTCATTTTCTTAGATTTGCTTTGGCAATATAGACTTTTGTAAATGGAAGAGAACCTCACCTTTCCATGCTTCATTTCCAGCCTATAAAATTCATCCTTCAGCTATATTCTCAACTTGACAAGCTTTGAAACAGCTAGAGAAGAAGGAAAAATATACATGTAATGAAACCCATGGAGGAAATTGCATGGAATCAGCTGTTCTTTTGCCTGTCTCCCCTCCATTGATCCACCCTAAACTCTTAGGGATTCAATCATCCCTCACCTAACACCGGAAGCATCTTTTCCTTGTGGGAGACCTTAAACGAACCATAAGATTTAAAGTGCCTTTCAAGCAGTTGAGTTCTGCCAGAGACTTCCGGCTGCGGGACCACACTTGCCAGCAAGGCCCTAATATCCTCTATGAATTTGGGGTCACACTCCAAACAGCCTTTGATCCGTGAAAAGTTGCCAAGGATAGGGTCAGGAGGAGAACTAACCATTGGTTTCCCATCTCCTTCCCCCACTTCCCTCTACAACAGCAGATTGTCCCAGCAACTAGTTCACTCCATTCCTTTTTCTACAAAAGTCCAGGAATGAAAGCCTTGTCCTGTATAATCTGAGTTCAATTTTCCCTCTCACTTTTAGAAACTCTCACTTCCTTAAATATCTTCTGTTTTCTTCATTCTAGAAAGAGTGAGAACTGCCAGCTGGGGATTGAATATGTGACTTCTGAGTGTAGAACACAAACAGAGGGAGAAGCCTGAGATCACACAGCGGAGTTCTGTGTAAAGAAATGTCTCAGAACAAGTTTCCTTAGTTCTCTCTGACCTATGTTGTTAGTAGATTCCCATTCTCTCCCTGCCCTTTGGAGTAGTACACTAACAGAAGAGTATGGTGGGAGAGATCTCATAGTACCTTAGAAATAGTTCAACACAAACTCTATCTCTGTAAAGGAGCTAAGCCAAGAATATTGAGTCACTTGGGTCTCAGTCCCTGTTGGTAACAATGGTGTTGAGGAATAATGAATGGGCATTTATAAAATAATGACAAATTTCTGGCTGCATTTGTCTGTGGGATGATTCTTTCAGACACATTTTGTGACATTTTTATAACATTCCTTTTAGGAAACTAGAACTGAAGACTAGAAATAACAGTGGAGGAACAGACAGTGATGAATGGGAAATCATTAATGTGTAGGGGTCTTTAGCAGATGCATCATGAAATACTTATGATGGGATATATAGCAAATAGAAAACAATCATAATTATCATGGCCTGCACTCTCACACGGAAGTTGGCTAAATAAACATGTTTTCCTTCAGTTTGCTAATATGTCTGGGGTGACTTTTAAAAATACTGGTTACCTCATTTCTAGTATGTTGCTTGTATGGCTATTATATACTAGAGACCAAGAAACCCAGGCACACAAAACATTTAGTAGTACAATTTCAACCTATGTTAAGGATAATCACGAAGTGAGAAGTGGTGAAGGAAGTTAAAAGAACTACTATGAATTATATCCCTGTCATATGAACAAAGACTATGCTAAACTCCTCAGATAAATCATCACAAGTCCCCATGACACACTAACGCCTTCAAAGGTACATGTAGAGGTCTACAGGAAGACAGAACAGCACTGACCAAATTGGTAGGAACTTCTTACAGAAAGCCTGGATCCAGGAGACGAAAACAACAAATACTGAGTACACTGTGATGAATGAGAAACTAGTAATGTTCAGGAATATTCAGTGCGAGTACTCTGTATGTGTTGATGATGGAGTGATGATAGAACATAAAATATTCAAAGTTATCATGAGATAAATTCTTAGAATTTTATAAGTTTAAAATGTTTAAACTTTGGGAAAAAGAGAGCTGTCTGGGAGTTGATTAATAATGTAATCACATTACTTAATTAAAATGACAATACTTATGTCTCAGAAGCAAAATGCTGAACCTGAGTTTTGGATTGATTAGGCTAGTGTTGGTTCAGATTGGCATTAAAGGGTTATCATTTATAGTCTGTACAAATATATAGCTGGTTGAGTTCATTGTTTAAAATAGCATAGCTAATGCAAAATAGTATATCCATCTATAATATACTAAATATGTATATGTATTTGTGATTCTTAAAAGATAATGGTATTCATAAGAGGTTTTGTATTATAAAACTAAAAATTAGAAAGTATCCCTTTCATGGGCTAGAATCCGTTGATTTTTGGCCTTTGGACTTATAGAAGTTATATCATGCACTGAATTTTAAACTTTGAAGAACAAGTCTCATAAAGAGAAGCAAGGATCTTTGTATGGAATTTTTTTCATTTTTGTATGAAATTGTTTTCTTTTTTCATTTTTCCATAGCAAATCTAATTCCAATATCTATGAATAAAAACAAGAATCATTGTGAGTCACTAGAGAGTATAAAAAGTATAAATGTGGGAAATTGTATATAATAGAAGCCTAGTGTTTAGAGAAACTAAGGGATTTGTGGGGAATTGTATGCCTAGCAGGGGAAAGATATGGAACTATAGCACAAACTTGTCTATCTTCTCATGTTTGATCTTTCCCAAATGCCAAAAAGTTTCCTGAACACAGTGAATCCAAGGTGCCATGATCACTACCTGAACTTAGTAAGAATAGGAAATGTTTTTGTATGTGATCAAAGAAAGATGCTTCATTCATGCTTAAAATAAAAAGAATCTATAATTCTAACCATCTTTTAATATTTCTTGATGCCTAATTTTTCCCCTTCCTTACAACTACCTCCAGGGATGATTTGAAGAATATTTATATTCAATGCTAACTTGTTCGCCTTATGCTTGAAGAGTACAATTTTCTTCAATATTTTGTAGGAAAATGCATAGATATTGGTCTAATTTCTGTTAAATAAATACAAGGTAAAAGTAGTATTTATTTCCCTTCCTTTAACAGAAATTTAAACATAATAATAAAAATTACAAGAATACATTACCAAAAATAATAAGGAACATGAATTAGCATATAGTCTGGCAGTATTTTATATTCTTTATGTCCATGATCTTATCGAAACCTTATGCTAAAAGAGATTTTGAGATTGCTATTCTCATTTAGAGGTGAGAGAACTGAGACTGAGTAGCTAGGTACTTTTCATCAGACCACAGAGCTCTCCAGTGGTAGAGCTTGCAGTTTTATACAGTTTCAACTGATTCCCTACCTAGTATTCTTTTAGCCTCCAAATTCTCATTCTTTTAAATCAAAGTTTTTAAAATCTGGCATATTTCTTAATATCTAAGGCTTAATAGAGGAGACATTGTGCCCTAACACATGCTATTAAATTTAGTTCGTCGTAATAGAAGTATAGAGTCAAGGGGCAAAGTTCACTTTAAGAATTTCATGGCTACTACCTTTTAAAAACTAATTTTATTGTTAACAATTCTTTTTCATAATACCACCTTTCATCAGTGTAAAATTTTATATGTGTATCTTTTTTTAATTTCTCTTTGTCAGGTTGTTCTGAAATGTTGATCTGATATCTTCTTTTTAACTTGTTAAAATATGCTAAATAAAACTTTTTGTTGTATAAATACCATTTCTTTTAAATATTGTGCCTATAAGTCTTCTTAACATTAGATTTTGGGACATCAAGTAAAATTCTGTTCTATTGTGTAAGGTATTCAGAAGGGACCTTAATAAGATTTGCTGTTACCTATTTATCACTATAAAATCACATGAGAAAACTATGAAGAAATTAAGCCAATGATGAGGCAGGAAGATTTTAGTTCAGTGGAGAAAAGATAATCTTGGTGGAGTGGATGATTAAACTTAGTGGTTGGAATGAGCACTAGAGAAGGTACGGACCCTCTTTCCGTTGCTCCATCAGGGTTGGTAAACCTACCTAGGATTCTGGGCTTAGCAGAATCGGAGGCTCTATTGACAGCTGCTCCAATACTCAGAAAAATGATAACTTGAAAACTATATGTCTTATATTAACTACTCCTTACATTTGCTGAAAGAATAACAACAGATATCCATTATTTTATCAGAGTAAAAATTCTAGTATTCCATGTCCTAGCTTGGAAAGGATTTGTCAAGTTTCATATTCTACAGGCTACTAAGTCATTTTTAACATATCAAGATGGATTGTAGAAATTACTTTAAATAATTTTTAAAAAAATACTAAGAGGACTGTTTTAGAGAAAAGTATATCACTGTTTTTGATTGGAGCTATTTGAGAATTCCACCATAAATATGCTATAAAATTCTCTCTTATGCCTCAACAAAAGACCTTGACAAAGTATGCATTGACACTTTCCATTTTTGCCAAGTTTAGTGCTTTATCTGAAGGCCATACGTAATAAAATGGTCATACATTATCTCATTTGCAGTCTTGAGTTTTATGAGTTCCCGTAAAACAATTACCATATATACACTTTACAATAAATGGGCAAGCAGAGTAACTGCAAACAATATGGAAAATTCAATAATTAATTCAGATTTCCAAATGTAATAGAGACAGTAGAGCTTTCTCTTCTTTTCAAAAGAGACAGTTTCTTTGTTAGGAGTATGCAAGCATGTTAATTCATTACTGTGTGGTTTCTCTTTTTCCAAAGCTTGTCGAAGGCCTAATTTATGTGCAAGACTGAAAGCTGTTTAAACGGATAATATGCTTCCTTCCTGAGAAATACCACCCCTTTATGCTCCATTAAATTCAGACGTTGACTCTATAAGCTACATGCCAATTATTTCTTTCCAGAAACAGTGGCATAGTTTTTTCCACAAAGGACAACAGATTATTGCAGGCTGCTATTAATCTCCACACAGTCCACAAAAAACACAGAACACTAGGGAGAAACAATTGAGTTGCAATTTTAACATTTGCAAAATGATACATAAAGAGGAAATAAAAAAGAAGATGCTCAGAGATTGCAACACTCCTATATTAATTCAAATCTCCCAATGACATGAAAAAACCTTAACCTATCAATAACGACTGCTGGTGTTGAAGCAGTGCCTATAGATGAATATAGGTGGGTCTTTGCATGGTTGATCTTTGGTTTCTCCTACATGTTTGGCTGCCCATTGTGTCACATAACTGCATAAAATACTACTTGGATGGTGTAGAGAGTGGAAACAACTACTAAAATATTGAAACAGGTTCAGTAAAACAGCAGCTTTATTGAGTTCAATGATAACAGGCCAGTTCAAATAGTAAAAATGAGAATAACATACCGATAATTCAGCATATCCAAACATAATGTATTAACGTAATAGCCCTGAATTCACTTTGAGGGAGGCAAAACTTGTCTCACTAATATTTATTGGTCCATGCATCAGTCCAGGGAGAATTTTAATTGTGAGAAGTCAATGATTTAGTTTTTTAAAAAAATTTGCACTTTTTTCATATAGCCAATAAAAATATTTGACTAGCTACTATTTAACTATTGGACATTTATCATGAACTAATTGTTTGGAAGAAACCACGCTAAGCAGTGTCAATAAGACATTTGGGAAAAAAAAGTCCTTTGCTACAGAATGT